TGCTCTACTGGCTCGCACTCCTTCTCGTCCTATTTTTGTTGACCATCGGGTGAGTGCTGGCGGCTGGTCCTCACCGTACCGACCACCGGATGAGCGCTGGCGGCTGGTCCTCACCGTACCGACCATCGGGTGAGTGCCGGCGGCTGATCCTCACCGTACCGACCACCGGATGAGCGCTGGCGGCTGGTCCTCACCGTACCGACCATCGGGTGAGTGCTGGCGGCTGGTCCTCACCGTACCGACCACCGGATGAGTGCCGGCGGCTGGTCCTCATCGTACCGACCATCGGGTGAGTGCTGGCGGCTGGTCCTCACCGTACCGACCATCGGGTGAGTGCCGGCGGCGGTCCTCGTCGTGCCGACCATCGGGTGAGTGCCGGCGGCTGGTCCTCACCGTACCGACCATCGGGTGAGTGCCGGCGGCGGTCCTCACCGTCCCGACCATCGGGTGAGTGCTGGCGGCTGGTCCTCACCGTACCGACCATCGGGTGAGTGCTGGCGGCTGGTCCTCCGTACCGACCATCGGGTGAGTGCTGGCGGCTGGTCCTCACCGTGCCGACCATCGGGTGAGTGCCGGCGGCTGGTCCTCTCCGAACCGACCATCGGATGAGTGCCGGCGGCTGGTCCTCTCCGAACCGACCATCGGGTGAGTGCTGGCGGCGGTCCTCGTCGTGCCGACCATCGGATGAGTGCCGGCGGCTGGTCCTCACCGTCCCGACCATCGGGTGAGTGCCGGCGGCTGGTCCTCACCGTCCCGACCATCGGGTGAGTGCCGGCGGCTGGTCCTCACCGTCCCGACCATCGGGTGAGTGCCGGCGGCTGGTCCTCACCGTCCCGACCATCGGGTGAGTGCTGGCGGCTGGTCCTCACTGTGCCGACCATCGGGTGAGTGCCGGCGGCTGGTCCTCACCGTACCGACCATCGGGTGAGTGCCGGCGGCTGGTCCTCTCCGGACCGACCATCGGATGAGTGCTGGCGGCGGTCCTCACCGTACCGACCATCGGGTGAGTGCTGGCGGCGGTCCTCACCGTACCGACCATCGGATGGGTCCCGTCGGCTGGTCCTCCGTACCGACCATCGGGTGAGGAACGGCAGGCGTATCATATGGAGGTCTCCGGCAGGGCGGGACAGGCTCAGCGGATGCCACAGCCTGGCCGTCATGGCCTGGCACCCCGGCGGAAATGGAGCGCGAGAGGCCGATTCGGCGCTGCAGGTGACGCCGGTTTTTGCCGACTGCTCGGCCGCTTCCGCAGTACATTATCCTGATGGTGTGAGATCTTATCAGCACTGACTGATGGACGAAGGCAGCTGCTCCATCTGGGATATCCGTGAACATCATCTCCACGACATGACAAAGAATCATCAGTGTTAACCTCTCAGCTACATGGCACGCTTAGTGCGAGGGAGAGAGAGGTGTGACTTGTGTCCAGTTACAGGAAAAGGGTTGGAAGATTTCTGTTGAGATTTGGTTTTAAAAGTTCCAGGTACTTCTGACAAATAGGCGTTGTCCACCAATTTGTTTGAAACTTATGTGCTTGGAAAACTAGTGGTACGTTGTCGCCTCACATGGGGGCGGCTTCGGTATATGTTGGAATAGCTTGGACTTAAAGTGCAAAGGCCTATAAGGGAAACAAAAATTGAGGCTTTCGTAAATACTCGGCAAATAATCCCAGCCTTACTCCAGTCTTCATGACACTTTATTGCCTAGCCCGAAGGCAAATGTTTACCCACGGGGATAAATTATAAATTTGTTTTATGGCACTTGTTTTAAATTTGTTTTATGACTGACTAACATGGCAAGCTGCAGTGCCATACTCTAAATCACAAGAAGCATGGAAGCAAATTAGTATCAGTCACGTGCTTGTCACCGTAGGTGTTCACGCGATGGCAAAGGTGCATTCAAACTTACATGTTCGCCAGGAGACTGTTAGGCATACACATGAACTGGCATAGTTAATTAAACGAGATGAAAATGAGATGAAAAACAGATGATTTTTCCCGCGAATGTGATCAGTGGCGCGGACAGGGCGGGGAAGTGGGGGGTGGGGGGGGGGGGGGGTCACAGGGAACATGAGCCCCCTCCCTAGGGTCCGAGAGTCCCAAACGGCCCCTCGAGACCAGCGATTAAGGACCCGAAAGCAGGGGCCCTGGTCTGTGGAACCGGTCACTCCAATGCCAGTCAGGGGGCTCAACGCTGATCAAGGGCCTCCTGAATCAATAAGGGTCTATATGTCGGCCAGACACTACCAGTAACGTACAGGTGGTTCCGCGCCGGCATGGGCCTGAGGGTCCATTTCCCAGGCAGGGACAAAGCCGGAGCCATCGATTTACATTGATCGGGACCCCAGTGTGTGTTAGGGCCCCACGGTGTCTAACAGGGGGCCCTGTATTGATAAGGGGCCCGAGTCATCCGGAGGTGGTGTTCGAGGAGACCCGGAGAACCCCGGGGTCCACCGGGACCGAAGATCAAGGGCCTGATTGGAGGGTCCAAGGGCACGAAGGACGGCCGTATCTGTAAGTCACATAAAAAATCGCGACTGGCTGTAGATCCCATAAAGAATGCGGCCAATAGGTTTGTGACCTGAAATATCAGTCAGGAGTCCTCTTGCGCCGTTTGAAAACCCCTTGAGACACTGCGGAAGTCCCGGTGGGCCAAAGACCATGAACACCGAAAAGTTGGGTCCCTGTCATTTTAAACCCTGGGGCCCATTTCCCAAGCGGGAGCAAGACCAGGGGCCACGAACTGCATTGGTCTAGGTCCCTGAAACAATTATTAGAATCCCTGTGTCGGTCAGGAGCCCGCAGTGCCAAGCGGGGAGCCATGTGTCGGATAGTGGCCCCAAGTCGGTCCCGGGCTTTGTTTGAGGAGACCCGAAGAGAGGCCAAATGGCCCTCGGAACCAAAAGATCAAGGACACGACTGGAAGGCTGAAAGTCCCAAAGGATTGGACGTAGATCACATTAAGGATGCCCCCCCCCCCCATTGCCCACAAGGTCGTGACTTCAAATATAGGGCCCCTTGGATCGATTGGTGACCCCTGGGACAGTGCGGACCTCTACCTCGACCAGAGGCCACCAACACTTAACTGTCGGCTACATATTAGTCAGGCTACATATCACAGGACAGTCATGGACTCCCAGGGCCTCTGACTGCCCTGAAGCCCATTTCCCAAACATGAGCAGCGCCAGGCCCACGATTGCATAAGCCGGGGTAACTGAAACCGTGCGGGTGCTAGTCAAGGGCCATGTTGCCTAACATCTACAAGTGGTTCGAGTCGCCGGGAGTCGTGTTTGCGGGAGTCCGAACAGGGGTCCGAAAGGCC